TGGTCATTAAAAATTAAAAGAGGGCAAACTTAAAAATGGACTCTCAAAGGGGGCATTTTTGAAAAGGGGTATTGAAAAAGGGGCATTTTTAACAATTTCTCTATAATTAAACCAATTGTATTAGTTATGATTTACAAAATGGAATTTTGTGTTTTAAAATTCAAAAATTAGACGAATCATAGGAATTAAAGCAGTCAAAATAGATCAAAAACCGTGGGTCGAGCCCAAATCATCTCACTATAGGCCAGATTTGAGAAAATATATTAAACCCGCAAATAAGCGGGCCACATGGATTGATTCGCAGTGGGTCATCGGTTTTCGTCCGGGGGTTGGCGGATCAACCCGCATGATAGTATTTATTGATAAAAATATAATTTATTCAACATGTGGTAGTTTAAAAAACTTTTAATAAATAAAATTATAATATTTATAAATATAATGATATATAAGATTATTTTCTCTAAAAACATTTTAATTTATTTATTTTAGTAGAATTTTAAATTTTGGTTACTCTAAAATTATTTAAACAAAATTCACGGATAACCCCGCAAATCAGCATACATTCGCGCGACGGGGTTGTGTTTCATATATGCTACCCGCGGGTCGTGCAGACAGACTAACTACATGCCAAACTATATTTTGCCTATTGCAAAACAGGCTTAACGGGACGAATCAACTCGTTTTGACAGCTCTAATGGAAATCTTATTTAGTCATACAACTCAATGGAGTTTGGACATAGGAATTATAGAATATGTATCTTATTTGTTAGATTAGAGATTGAAAGGTGAAATATAATGATTAAAAATAATTAATATTTTTCATGATTCACAAAATTTAATAAATATTTATCATCTTGTTGAATAATTCTAAAAATCATATTCAAGAAATCTTTATAATTTGAAAATTAAACTTCTTTGGTAAACTATAAGTATGATTGTATGAAAATACCATAATTTCGATTTAATCTAATTAAATTAAAATTAGTTACATAGATTTCATATCTATTTAATTTACACGACCAAAATAAAAATATCTATTTATTTAATTTATAAAATAGATGGGTTAGTTGTGATAAATTTTTTAGAAATCTCTAGAAGCAAGTAAGATATCTTTTAATTAATGATAACTGGCTAAAATAAGCAAAATTAATGAGAAAAACGTTGATTGTTATGGAATTAGTTCCAAAAGTATATGAACAAATATATTATACGTAATTAATGTATAATATTGTTCGGAATATGATTTTATAATTGGAGCTTTTGCAAAAATGCCCCTTTCTCAATGCCACTTTTCAAAAATGCTACTTCTTTAAAACCTTATAAATACTTGGATCGAGTCTTCAAGTAGTAGTTACAATCCATAAGTACCTTATAAACCTAATAAAATTTTATAAAAATTTCAGATTTAAAAAGGGGCATTTTTGAAAATGGACATGTAAAAGGGGCATTTTTTAAAAGGGGCACACCAAAAGGGACATTTTTAACAATTTCCCTTTATAATTAGTTACCATAAGTACAATCAAATTTTATTTGATTTCCATAAACATTTGATTTTAGTTCGATTTTTCATTATTAATTTGAATTTATATTCCAAAAAAATTTCAAAGATCCGATTTTAGAATTTTAGGTCAATTTTCTGATTTTGACCCGACCTATTTACATTTGTACTTCTCTTCTAATAGTATAGAGATAAACTAATATCCGTACCCGTTATATGCGATAGGCTCTGCGCGCCCGCCCCAACAACCACGATAACTAACATATGATTTTAATAATTGTTTTAATTCTACATATAGAGATAACTTTGAACATAAAACTCATCATATATATAATCAGTTGAAAATGTGAATTCAGTTAAAAGAAAACATAATATAACACAATCCCAGACAAATCACCAGTTAGTCTGAAAACAATTTAAAAAAAAAAAAAAAAAAAAAAAAACTAGAAACACTTCTTGTAAGCTCGAGTCTAAAAAAAAAAAAAAAGGTAGCGTTAAGCGCAGAACTAATAATTAAAGTAAAAAGACCAGACAACGTGAAAGGTAAAAAACACATCTGTACAAGCAAAGCCGAATCTACTACCGAGCTGTTGGCTGCAGTACAGACTCATCAATGGAAACATAATTCTGTGATCCAGCCAGGTCAAGCATTCCCATGTTGAGAGATGACGAATGAGCCGAGCTCCGGGAAAACTCGTCCGATATTCCGCCTCTTGCGGCCAACGCTTCCTTCTCGATCCTAATCGCGTCTTGGATATCCTTTTGCACCTCGGACATTGACGGTCTCATGTTCCCGTGCGGTTTCACACACAGCAACGCTTTCTCCGCAATCTTCCACATTGATTGGAGACTGTAATCGTCTTCCGCTAGTGCTGGATCGATGATCCCTCGTATGTCCCCGTTGTCTATATGCATCTTGGCCTACAAGAAACAGTACCAAAGGGAAGATTTATAAGGCGATTCGGTTTCAAATATAATATATCCAAACGAAGCGTAACCACAAAAAAAAAATGAACTAACCCATTGGACTATGTTCCGGCAGTTGACACCAAAGCTTTCATTCGATATGGCTTCTTGGCCGGACATTAGCTCAAGAAGAATGACTCCGAAGCTATATACGTCACTCTTCTCCGTTAACTGCTGCGATATGTAGTACCTTTAACATCGAATAAAGAAAATATGTGAGTTCTTGACATTATGCTAGTTTCAATAAAGATATGTGAAGTTCTTGGCATTAGTTTAAGTCTAGCTTACTCGGGGTCAAGATATCCAACTGTGCCACGGACAATGCTGGAGACATGTGAGGTCCCGTCAACTGCAAATTTCGACAATCCGAAATCTGAAACCTTCGCCCTCATTTGTTTATCGAGTAGGATGTTACTCGTCTTGAGATCCCTGTGTATGATTGCTGGAACACACCCCGTGTGAAGATACTCGATACCTACAGAAACAATCAAAACCAACAAAATCAAAATATCGAAAAAATGGCTTCAGATCAGAGGTCAAGAGTGCTTTCTGTTATGTTTTGTAAGGTTCACAGACCTCGGGCTGCATCTTCAGCTATCTCAAGCCGTTTAATCCAACTGATTCTCCGGTCACGCGGTACCACCCCTGAAAAATAAATTCACTTGTTAACATCACGTTAAACCAAAACCCTGAAATATACCGTCCTAACATAAAAAGATATGTTACCATAAAGATGCTCCTTCAAAGTCCCATTGTGCATGAACTCATACACAAGCATGTTTTTTCCCTCTTCTTGGCAATAACCAAGAAACTGCACTAGGTTCCGATGATGTATCCTTGAGAGTAATGTAACCTGAACA